ATATATCCTAAAACCAAAAGCATACTAGGAATTCTAAAACCATGAGAACTAGAGAAGAGAAAGATGAAAAAGCCTAAATAAATATAGTTGTCACCTGGAGCATACCGAGTAGTCTGTGCGAGATGAAAAGGGAATTACGCATACTAGGAATTCTAAAACCATGAGAACTAGAGAAGAGAAAGATGAAAAAGCCTAAATAAATATAGTTGTCACCTGGAGCATACCGAGTAGTCTGTGCGAGATGAAAAAGGAATTACCGATAAGAGCATTGAATGCACCTGTATATAAAAAAAATGGCACATCTACTTTCTTTCTTCTTAAGCATGTTGAAACCAAATCATATAAGTCAAGGAGGGATGTTATCCAAAAGCATTAAGAACAAGATAAGAAACTTTCAAGTATTCCATTACTGAAAATGTAAAATTTAAGTATTCCAGTTCTTAAATCATAACTAAACTACAGTTTCGAATTCACATTCACTAAGAGGCCAGAAAGAAAACTTTCAACATATAGCAGCCTGATACACTATTAAATACTATTAAATAATTATGGAAAAAGTCGTTAAAAAAGTACAATTTAGCTTAAAGAAGTATTACTCTCCAGGAACTTTGTTCTCTAAAATTTTATAACATTTCCAAGAAAGTTCACTAAGATGCTTGAGATAAAATCACATCAAGATCCCTTGCTTATAAGAATTGAGAATACAACTAAAAGGTGCTGATTAACTTTTATGTTGCATCTTATGAAGATAACTACAACGTAACCTGGAACTCCACAACAGAACTAGACCTCCTAAAATTAGGTACAGAAATCAATCTGCAATGTGTTATTCCATTATGTAAAAATATAATGTAACTCTGCTACCCACGTGAAGCATTCCATTCTTTGATTATGATATGGGTTGTCAGCATCACAAGGCTTAAGCTACGGATTACGGATTAAGGGGACAGAGCATACCTTGCATCTAACTGCAATATTAATGGCATCGGAAGGGCGGAGATCAAAGCTGATTATCTCTTTCTTACTATCAACCTGCATGCACCCGGATTTTCTGGTTTAGGTTTTTCTCTCAGTAATGACCTCAATTTTATAAAAGAATTAGCTGAAACAATATTAGATAGATCACCATTAAAAAAACTAGATGACATGTCAGAACTTACCTTTGCAAGATATAATTGTGCAAAGTAGGCCTCATGTATTCTCCTAGTGACACGAACAAGTTGTACCTATGAGAAAGACAACCCGTTGATGTTATGAACTTTCTATGAGTAATTAGAGCTTCAAACATGATAATAAGATTGAATCAACATCGTGGACACCAGGACCTGGTATAAGTCCTCCAAATAGGTGAGATAAAATGAGTATCACTATACATGTAGGAAATATTATTGCTGATCAAGGAGCACCAATGTTATTTTCAAAATGAATTGATGTTGCATCCATACAGATAGGTGATGGACCACCACGAAAACAAAAAGATATGGCAAGTGCAGATTGAACCATTGAAGATATGAACTTACTTCATATCCCATCTTTTCTACCATGTCTTTCACTACTTGGTATACAGTAGGCCTAGCCTGCAAATGTTAGAAAACATCAGATCAATACTATGGGAAGTATTCTGAAGATGCAATATTGTACTGTTAGTTTGTTACACATAAGAATGACAGTCTTACAATTTGTACATTACGAACTGCAGCCATTAGCAGCACACTAGGCATCTCCACTGAGAAAATAAACCGAGTGATAACTTATAGAAGATGGGGAATGCATAATAAACAGCTTAATTTAATAGGACACTTACAAACTATTATAGGAAGAAGAAGGTCACTTCCATCTTCCATCTTTAAGACAATGGCAGAGCGAGGGGCATAGTCTGGCAGGTTTCCTCTTTGAGGGTTGTTGTGAACACATCTTAAATTTCTGCCATCCCGCATTTTAATAAAGAAACCATCCAGACCACTTTTAACCTCAACTGCATGCAAGACTTGTTTAATTAGTCACCTAATTACAACACACATGATATTTTAGTCCAATATAAACGATAACACTTAATTGCTTGCAGTTACATTCGGTGGTACAGTGATCTACTGATCTTATGGGTAATGTCTCCCAAGATTTAAGTCCATGTTATCTTAAAAATTCCAGGAATATTGATGATCTAAACCATCCACCAGTTAAGGTGATCTGCAACATGAGCTAGGGAGGGCTCGGGTCTATAGCTGATAGGTACCAACCCATGAAAGGCTATATATTCAAGCCTCAAAAACTTTCAAGGAGGAATCAGGATGAAATACAAACTGGTACTAAGACTGAAGAAGTCAACATACCATTTCATTTAGGATGTAAAATTCGTCAACAAAGAAATTGGGACCCACGGATTGAATTGAATCCATCTATCTCCCCAAGTGATACTAAATATGTACATATCAGTAGAATATATTATACAACATCAGTAAGCCGACTAAGTGGTATCACAATCATAACTTCAACAAATACAATGGCTGTGATAATGTTGGTTTAAAATGAAAACGTGTTTACCAACTGGTTGTTGAACTGTCAAATTTATGCACACAAAGGTGACCAAGAAGTTGTTTACTTTGAAAGACTGAAAAAAAATATGACAAATACACAGCAGTGAATTATTGTACTGAAATGGCGAAAATAAATTTTGTGAAATGTTAGGAAACTCATAAATAGAAGGTTTTTGAACCAATTTTGTCTAGTGTATCTCAAGCACATCAGTGAACATATTTACATCTTGAGAACGATGATATTAGTAGAAGATCTAGCATTCAAATTACTTACCAGCTTCTATTACACTTGAGTTCACGTAATCTCCATCACTCTCATTGAAATTCCCAGCCATGCTCCCACTGCCATCAGATGATGAACTGAAACTACAGCGAACAACTCCATGCTTCCCCTCAAATGGTGCATATGAGGCAGGAACAACCTTAATCGACCCTCTGTATTTCACTTTTGACCCCCAAAATCCACTACCAATAGTCCTAGCCTTTGCCAGAGGAGTATTAACCAAAGGAACAGCAACTCTTGCATGATTTGCCTCAACAAAAGGGTGATATTTAATAGCTCCCTCTAGAATTCCCATATAATTTTACCTTCACACATCAAGATATAACCACCAAGAATGAATCAAGAAGCCAAATTAATATAAATAAAAAAATTGTGAAATGAAAAGCAAAGATTGCAAGGCGCATGGAACAGGCCAAGCAGTTACAAGTTATAATTAACGTATAACCATACTCAACATTTAGGTGATAATGAACAATAATTCAGATTCAATATTTCTAGAAACTAAAATAGACTAAAAATAGGAGTTAATACACATGTTAGATGTTTCCACATCCTTTCTTATGGTATGCTATCTATTTGTAAGTGATTGATCAATTCTTCTAGGATGTGTTTGGGATCTTGAATTTGGGCCCTGGATTTGAAATCCAGGTAGCCCAAATCCAAATCTTATGTTTGGGGTATTTGACTCAAATTTAAAATCAGTTCATTTCAAAGGGGAGGATTTTAGAACCCAAAATCCAGGATTTCAAATTCTAGTCCATCCTCTCTGATTTGGGAAGTCAACCTCCACAGATCAAGATACCGATCTCTAACTCCCTAACCCATCGAATAACTAAAAAAAACGTCATTGCATCATTTCTCTCCCCTAACCTATCTTTGTCACGTCACTGCCACCGCCGGTGCTTTTCCCG